GTTATAATGAGTGTTTTATGGTTAGGCTGTTAGATACCCAGTGTTATAATGAGTGTTTTATGGTTAGGCTGTTAGATACCCAGTGTTATAATGAGTGTTTTATGGTTAGGCTGTTAGATACCCAGTGTTATAATGAGTGTTTTATGGTTAGGCTGTTAGATACCCAGTGTTATAATGAGTGTTTTATGGTTAGGCTGTTAGATACCCAGTGTTATAATGAGTGTTTTATGGTTAGGCTGTTAGATACCCAGTGTTATAATGAGTGTTTTATGGTTAGGCTGTTAGATACCCAGTGTTATAATGAGTGTTTTATGGTTAGGCTGTTAGATACCCAGTGTTATAATGAGTGTTTTATGGTTAGGCTGTTAGATACCCAGTGTTATAATGAGTGTTTTATGGTTAGGCTGTTAGATACCCAGTGTTATAATGAGTGTTTTATGGTTAGGCTGTTAGATACCCAGTGTTATAATGAGTGTTTTATGGTTAGGCTGTTAGATACCCAGTGTTATAATGAGTGTTTTATGGTTAGGCTGTTAGATACCCAGTGTTATAATGAGTGTTTTATGGTTAGGCTGTTAGATACCCAGTGTTATAATGAGTGTTTTATGGTTAGGCTGTTAGATACCCAGTGTTATAATGAGTGTTTTATGGTTAGGCTGTTAGATACCCAGTGTTATAATGAGTGTTTTATGGTTAGGCTGTTAGATACCCAGTGTTATAATGAGTGTTTTATGGTTAGGCTGTTAGATACCCAGTGTTATAATGAGTGTTTTATGGTTAGGCTGTTAGATACCCAGTGTTATAATGAGTGTTTTATGGTTAGGCTGTTAGATACCCAGTGTTATAATGAGTGTTTTATGGTTAGGCTGTTAGATACCCAGTGTTATAATGAGTGTTTTATGGTTAGGCTGTTAGATACCCAGTGTTATAATGAGTGTTTTATGGTTAGGCTGTTAGATACCCAGTGTTATAATGAGTGTTTTATGGTTAGGCTGTTAGATACCCAGTGTTATAATGAGTGTTTTATGGTTAGGCTGTTAGATACCCAGTGTTATAATGAGTGTTTTATGGTTAGGCTGTTAGATACCCAGTGTTATAATGAGTGTTTTATGGTTAGGCTGTTAGATACCCAGTGTTATAATGAGTGTTTTATGGTTAGGCTGTTAGATACCCAGTGTTATAATGAGTGTTTTATGGTTAGGCTGTTAGATACCCAGTGTTATAATGAGTGTTTTATGGTTAGGCTGTTAGATACCCAGTGTTATAATGAGTGTTTTATGGTTAGGCTGTTAGATACCCAGTGTTATAATGAGTGTTTTATGGTTAGGCTGTTAGATACCCAGTGTTATAATGAGTGTTTTATGGTTAGGCTGTTAGATACCCAGTGTTATAATGAGTGTTTTATGGTTAGGCTGTTAGATACCCAGTGTTATAATGAGTGTTTTATGGTTAGGCTGTTAGATACCCAGTGTTATAATGAGTGTTTTATGGTTAGGCTGTTAGATACCCAGTGTTATAATGAGTGTTTTATGGTTAGGCTGTTAGATACCCAGTGTTATAATGAGTGTTTTATGGTTAGGCTGTTAGATACCCAGTGTTATAATGAGTGTTTTATGGTTAGGCTGTTAGATACCCAGTGTTATAATGAGTGTTTTATGGTTAGGCTGTTAGATACCCAGTGTTATAATGAGTGTTTTATGGTTAGGCTGTTAGATACCCAGTGTTATAATGAGTGTTTTATGGTTAGGCTGTTAGATACCCAGTGTTATAATGAGTGTTTTATGGTTAGGCTGTTAGATACCCAGTGTTATAATGAGTGTTTTATGGTTAGGCTGTTAGATACCCAGTGTTATAATGAGTGTTTTATGGTTAGGCTGTTAGATACCCAGTGTTATAATGAGTGTTTTATGGTTAGGCTGTTAGATACCCAGTGTTATAATGAGTGTTTTATGGTTAGGCTGTTAGATACCCAGTGTTATAATGAGTGTTTTATGGTTAGGCTGTTAGATACCCAGTGTTATAATGAGTGTTTTATGGTTAGGCTGTTAGATACCCAGTGTTATAATGAGTGTTTTATGGTTAGGCTGTTAGATACCCAGTGTTATAATGAGTGTTTTATGGTTAGGCTGTTAGATACCCAGTGTTATAATGAGTGTTTTATGGTTAGGCTGTTAGATACCCAGTGTTATAATGAGTGTTTTATGGTTAGGCTGTTAGATACCCAGTGTTATAATGAGTGTTTTATGGTTAGGCTGTTAGATACCCAGTGTTATAATGAGTGTTTTATGGTTAGGCTGTTAGATACCCAGTGTTATAATGAGTGTTTTATGGTTAGGCTGTTAGATACCCAGTGTTATAATGAGTGTTTTATGGTTAGGCTGTTAGATACCCAGTGTTATAATGAGTGTTTTATGGTTAGGCTGTTAGATACCCAGTGTTATAATGAGTGTTTTATGGTTAGGCTGTTAGATACCCAGTGTTATAATGAGTGTTTTATGGTTAGGCTGTTAGATACCCAGTGTTATAATGAGTGTTTTATGGTTAGGCTGTTAGATACCCAGTGTTATAATGAGTGTTTTATGGTTAGGCTGTTAGATACCCAGTGTTATAATGAGTGTTTTATGGTTAGGCTGTTAGATACCCAGTGTTATAATGAGTGTTTTATGGTTAGGCTGTTAGATACCCAGTGTTATAATGAGTGTTTTATGGTTAGGCTGTTAGATACCCAGTGTTATAATGAGTGTTTTATGGTTAGGCTGTTAGATACCCAGTGTTATAATGAGTGTTTTATGGTTAGGCTGTTAGATACCCAGTGTTATAATGAGTGTTTTATGGTTAGGCTGTTAGATACCCAGTGTTATAATGAGTGTTTTATGGTTAGGCTGTTAGATACCCAGTGTTATAATGAGTGTTTTATGGTTAGGCTGTTAGATACCCAGTGTTATAATGAGTGTTTTATGGTTAGGCTGTTAGATACCCAGTGTTATAATGAGTGTTTTATGGTTAGGCTGTTAGATACCCAGTGTTATAATGAGTGTTTTATGGTTAGGCTGTTAGATACCCAGTGTTATAATGAGTGTTTTATGGTTAGGCTGTTAGATACCCAGTGTTATAATGAGTGTTTTATGGTTAGGCTGTTAGATACCCAGTGTTATAATGAGTGTTTTATGGTTAGGCTGTTAGATACCCAGTGTTATAATGAGTGTTTTATGGTTAGGCTGTTAGATACCCAGTGTTATAATGAGTGTTTTATGGTTAGGCTGTTAGATACCCAGTGTTATAATGAGTGTTTTATGGTTAGGCTGTTAGATACCCAGTGTTATAATGAGTGTTTTATGGTTAGGCTGTTAGATACCCAGTGTTATAATGAGTGTTTTATGGTTAGGCTGTTAGATACCCAGTGTTATAATGAGTGTTTTATGGTTAGGCTGTTAGATACCCAGTGTTATAATGAGTGTTTTATGGTTAGGCTGTTAGATACCCAGTGTTATAATGAGTGTTTTATGGTTAGGCTGTTAGATACCCAGTGTTATAATGAGTGTTTTATGGTTAGGCTGTTAGATACCCAGTGTTATAATGAGTGTTTTATGGTTAGGCTGTTAGATACCCAGTGTTATAATGAGTGTTTTATGGTTAGGCTGTTAGATACCCAGTGTTATAATGAGTGTTTTATGGTTAGGCTGTTAGATACCCAGTGTTATAATGAGTGTTTTATGGTTAGGCTGTTAGATACCCAGTGTTATAATGAGTGTTTTATGGTTAGGCTGTTAGATACCCAGTGTTATAATGAGTGTTTTATGGTTAGGCTGTTAGATACCCAGTGTTATAATGAGTGTTTTATGGTTAGGCTGTTAGATACCCAGTGTTATAATGAGTGTTTTATGGTTAGGCTGTTAGATACCCAGTGTTATAATGAGTGTTTTATGGTTAGGCTGTTAGATACCCAGTGTTATAATGAGTGTTTTATGGTTAGGCTGTTAGATACCCAGTGTTATAATGAGTGTTTTATGGTTAGGCTGTTAGATACCCAGTGTTATAATGAGTGTTTTATGGTTAGGCTGTTAGATACCCAGTGTTATAATGAGTGTTTTATGGTTAGGCTGTTAGATACCCAGTGTTATAATGAGTGTTTTATGGTTAGGCTGTTAGATACCCAGTGTTATAATGAGTGTTTTATGGTTAGGCTGTTAGATACCCAGTGTTATAATGAGTGTTTTATGGTTAGGCTGTTAGATACCCAGTGTTATAATGAGTGTTTTATGGTTAGGCTGTTAGATACCCAGTGTTATAATGAGTGTTTTATGGTTAGGCTGTTAGATACCCAGTGTTATAATGAGTGTTTTATGGTTAGGCTGTTAGATACCCAGTGTTATAATGAGTGTTTTATGGTTAGGCTGTTAGATACCCAGTGTTATAATGAGTGTTTTATGGTTAGGCTGTTAGATACCCAGTGTTATAATGAGTGTTTTATGGTTAGGCTGTTAGATACCCAGTGTTATAATGAGTGTTTTATGGTTAGGCTGTTAGATACCCAGTGTTATAATGAGTGTTTTATGGTTAGGCTGTTAGATACCCAGTGTTATAATGAGTGTTTTATGGTTAGGCTGTTAGATACCCAGTGTTATAATGAGTGTTTTATGGTTAGGCTGTTAGATACCCAGTGTTATAATGAGTGTTTTATGGTTAGGCTGTTAGATACCCAGTGTTATAATGAGTGTTTTATGGTTAGGCTGTTAGATACCCAGTGTTATAATGAGTGTTTTATGGTTAGGCTGTTAGATACCCAGTGTTATAATGAGTGTTTTATGGTTAGGCTAGGTAACAGCTGTGGTTATAGTTAGATTCTGTACAAGTTTCATTGTGTTTCCTATGTTACATGCTTGCGGGAGTCTTAGAAATTTCATTATAGGAGATATTGACATAAGTATATACTGTGTGAATGAGATCGGCTGTTTAGAGGAAGAAATGTGTTACTTGAACATGGTTGTTGACTGTTTCAGGCTACACCGAGGATGATGGAGCCGTACAATTTTGTTGAGGTGATGGCCCCTGCTGACTGTGTGTCAGCGGTTTATACTGTGCTGGCTCGGCGAAGGTAGGACAAAATCTGTCGATCATTCCTTCAAGATCCTCTCACCTTAAGTAATAGTATTCATGTTCATGCTCCATCAGAACTTATCCTCAAACAGTCTGCACAGTTCTTTAAGACCTTCAAATGTAAACTTCCTTTAGTGTTTCCTTGACAAAAAGCACTTGCTTGAGACTCGCCTTGGAACACTGGTTTGACCATTTTACTCACTGACTTGAATTGTTTGCTGACTTTACCTTTTGCTACACAAATTTGTAATGTACAGAGATTTCACAGGATATATTCTATTTCATTGTGAGTGATTTTGTGATATTTTCAGAGGACATGTAACCCAAGATGCACCTGTACCTGGTTCACCACTGTACACAATAAAAGCCTTTATTCCGGCCATTGACTCGTTTGGTTTTGAGACTGACCTTCGGACACACACTCAAGGTCAGGCGTTCTGCCTGTCCGTGTTTCATCACTGGCAGATCGTACCTGGTGACCCCCTTGACAAGAGTATCACTATCCGACCCCTAGAGCCACAGCCAGCCACACATCTGGCCAGGGAGTTCATGATCAAGTCACGTAGGAGGAAGGTAGGGCATCGAAAAGGGATTTTTGTAGACTGGAACTTCATATATTAAATACATCATAGTCTAGACAACAGTATGTTGAAAAAGTAAATTATCATTATGTATGTGAATGATTTTAACAAAGAGAACATCTATCAGGTTTTTAAAATAAAACATGTATTGAAGCCAAAGAGAAAAGTTTACAATTTCCATTTCATATTTTAAAGTTAAGTTTACTGATTATAAAATTTCTACAAGGAAATGCAAGTACATAGTTACTGAAACATAAAATAACTGACAAAGCTTTGTGGCTTGAGAAATATAGACTAGTGCTTTGTGGCCTGAGAAATAGTGACCAGTGCTTTCTGGCCTGAGAAGTATTGACCAGTGCTTTGTGGCCTGAGAAATATTGACCAGTGTTTTGTGGCCTGAGAAATATTAACCTGTGCTTTGTGGCCTGAGGAATATTGACCAGTGCTTTGTGGCCTGAGAAATATTGACCAGTGCTTCGTGGCCTGAGACATATTGACCAGTGCTTTGTGGCCTGAGAAATATTGACCAGTGTTTTGTGGCCTGAGAAATATTAACCTGTGCTTTGTGGCCTGAGGAATATTGACCATTGCTTTGTGGCCTGAGAAATATTGACCAGTGCTTTGTGGCCAGAGAAATATTGACCAGTGCTTGTGTTCTATGAAATATTGACCAGTGTGTTGTCCATACTTTTCAGGGCCTGAGTGAAGATGTCAGCATCAACAAGTTTTTCGACGACCCTATGTTGTTGGAGTTGGCCAAGCAGGATGTCATGCTGAATTATCCAATGTGATCGCGTCAGCCATGTGTAGACAGCTGTAAACACTTCAGATCATATCTCACCAGAAAGTTGGACCAGAAACTGGACACCTTTTCTTGATATAAAAGTCGCCTCCCCAGAAATATCACCAAATCCTTTTGAATTCAAAGACATACTTGTTGAATGTTTCCAAACTAGGAAATATGATATAGTTTTTTAAGGTTAAGGCTTTTACTGAAGGAAATCTTGGTAAATGTACTAGTGTGGGATTGGCTTGATGAGCAGAGGTTTGTGAACCAGTGAAGGATGCTGTCACTGAACAGCTGTACAGACAACATGCATATCTGTGAGGCTGACTCTGTTACGTACTGTATAGCTGAGGATTTTATTGAGTACGTTAAAATGTCTCGAACTTATACAAGAATGGATGTTATAGACATTTTAACAGACGCACCACACAGTTAAATTATTGCTGTGATCAATAAATTGATAAAAAAAATATCAACCAATCGGAACTGAAACAGGCTAAGCATATCTGAAGATGTATACTTTTACTATTCACTGAAGTTTGGAAAATTTAAAGTGTCACTGAGAAGTTAGCGTTAACCAACATTTATACCTGTAAAACAGTAGAAAAGAATGGTTGAGGTTAACATCAGTTTCTCATTATCTGCCACATATATAGTCCATTGGTGTATAGTGATTATATCATGTTTTCATCAAATATCATAATGTAAATAAACACGACTGAACACATATTATTTACTGTTATCATTTGTTAGGAGCGTAATATTTATTATATTATTGGTTTGACATGTCTACCTGTTTGTCTATCAAATAATTTTAAGTACCAGTACTTGATTTCTTGTATTGGAAATAAATGTTTGCTTGCAATTGTAGCCCAGATATCCTACAGCACGTTCTCAGTCTGAATATCACTGCCGAAAACACACAGAAATCCTCAATATCACTGCAGTAAACAAACAGAAATCCTCGATATCACTGCCGTAAACACACACAAATCCTCAATATCACTGCCGAAAACACACAGAAATCCTCAATATCACTGCCGTAAACACACACAAATCCTCAATATCACTGCCGTAAACAAACAGAAATCCTCAATATCACTGCTGAAAACACAAAGAAATCCTCAATATCACTGCCGAAAACACACAGAAATCCTTAAAATCATTGCCGAAAACACACAGAAATCCGCCTCAATTTTGCTGCCGAAAACACACAGAGATCCTCAATATCACTGCTAGTGCCAAAAACACACAGAAGTCCTCAATATCATTGCCGAAAACACTCATAAATCCACAATATTACTGCCGAAAACACATAGAAATCCTCAATATCACTGCTGAAAACACAGAAATCCTCAATATCACTGTCAAAAACACACAGAAATCCTCAATATCACTGCCTAAAACACACAGAAATCCTCAATATCACTGCCGAAAACACACAGAAATCCACAATATCACTGC